GGGATACTCAAAAGAGATGCGGGCACGTCAAATCACACAACAGACTTCTCAAATAAAGAGACGACCATCTATTTGGGATGAAAGATTCACTGGATCACAACAGGGTTCTCATATGAGGAGATAAACACCCGTTTGAGCAACGAACCAAGTTGAAAGATAACAAGCTTCCACTATAAGGATAAAGCTTAACTTCTTCTTTAATCAAGTTTCAAACTTGAAAAAGGACCAAATATAATATGTCTCTGCTAAAGGGAATTCCATTTGCTAGGAATTATGAATCAATAAATCTACTAGGGATCTTCAAAAGAGATATGGGAAGGTTAGATAAATTTCACAACAAACTTCTCTGCGGGACTTTTTTGGATAGATGCCATTGATTCACCAAATATCGTGTCATGTAACATTTTCCACTTGTAATACAATAGAAAACTTATACATTCCTAGCTCGACCCATTGCTTTGGACTTAAGATTACTTACTAGGATGACTTAGGTCTTATACATTCCTAACTATAATCATCACATCGACCAGCTTTGAACACCACCCCAACCATATATAATTATCACACAATCACATTCATATCACTAATATGCTAACTATCTGATGGATCATCATGAGAGGGAAGCATTCATATTGGGTCAAACATTCACATAAAGATTAAAGACTCGCCCAAACAAGTGAGAGAGACACCACATATTGTCGCAACTGCGAAAAACACTCGGCGTAAAACAGAAGAGTCGCCACCTTTCGTTATTTATCCCAAAGAGAGGGAAAGGAAACAATCGGAAAAGCCTAACAAAAAAGGGAAAAGACGAGGTCGTCGCAACCAAGTCCTGGATTCGGGAGTCGGTTACGCAAGGGTAAGGTATTAGCACCCCTCACGCCCGTCGTACTTGACGGGATCCACGCTTGTTGTCTATCTAAGTGTGTGTTTAATCTATCTACGCTACAGGCTCACATGATAAAAAGAAAAGAAAAGAGACTCGGCAGAGCATCGCCGCTTTGTGCATACGTATTCCCTCGTGCAATGGGAAAGTCAGAGTCAACGTATTTCGGCTAACTATGGGTGAAAGGTGGGGGAAGGTTGCTCGCCAAGACATCGCCGTCTTGTGCCTGAGTATCCTCTTCTGGTACGAGAAATCAGAGCAAACGTAGTTTGGACTGACACGAAACAACAGGTTTACTAAGTGTTTTAACCGAGTAGGATTAAACCTCCGTTCTAGCAGTTAGGGACGACGCCTGTTTGCGGTAGAACCGAAGCTTAACAACACTCTTTTTACAACAAAGGTTTCCGATTAATACCAAAGGAAAAAGTTTGAAGTTTTGTTTTGTGTTTTTTAGTGAAGTGAATTAATTCGGTTTGTGATTCACGTTGCACTAAAGACTATGACATAGGGGCGAATGCGTCGCGTATCGCCCCTAAACGGGACGTACACTAAGCACTCTAGACAAGAGAGAGGAGACCCCTCACTCATCATTCCCCATATAGCTTAAGGCTCGTAGCGCACAATGTTCATCGTATTTATTAGATGAGTTAGAATGATTTTGAGATGAGAAGAAGAAAATGCGAACTCTAAGGGAGACTCGGTCATAATGTTGTCATGCAAAGTGGACCTAAAGTTCAGATTGAAAGGGGAAACATCTACCCTAATGTTAGCATGCTTGGATTAAACACATAATGTCTCTCCTACTCCCATCCTAAACGGAGGGACTAGGAACCTTATGGGGATCATGGCAAAAAGCACAAGAAAGCACCAGATACATTCAATCACAAGTAAGAGATGCAAACATGAAAAATAAACATGCAAAGAGGGAGGAAAATAGTGTGGGGTAGCAACAACCACAAGCGCGTCTCGACCTCTTGGAAGCAAGCAAAGAATGCAATGCAAAAGAGAAATGCAAGAAAGCAAACAAACATGGAAATGCAAGCACAAACGAGAGTGAATGAGACAAAACGGGAGAAGTGAACTTCTACAACCATCGACTATCAATCATCGGAGACAAGTGGGAGGAAAGGAAGTGCGGGGCAGCAGCCGCCACAAGCGCATCTCGACCACTCGACTCTAACACTCAAGCGAAAGATAAACATCACATTGAACGACATATACGAGAGTATGCATTCAAGTGGAAAACAAGCACGTGTATCGAAGAGATCTTGATTAAATAATCAAGAACAACGACAAAATGTCCAAAACATTTCACTCCTGATGCATCATATTAATCTACGATGATCCGATGTGAAATGACACTCAAACGAGCAAGAAAAATAGCAAAACAGACTTACTGGCACATTGTTAATCGGTTAACACCGGGCGTTAACCAATTAACCACTGTTAACGTTTAAAAAATTTTGAATATTTGTACATGTTAATCAGTTAACACCAGACGTTAACCGATTAACACCTTGAAAACTTTAAAAATTTTGAATATCTGAGATGGTTAATCGGTTAACCATATGTGTTAACCGATTAACATTGTGCCAACAACAGAAAAACAGTAACAGAGCAGTATGTTCAGCAAATAAGCACTTATCCGATCAACTGGATGATCGCATAATCACTTAATCACGAAATTAAACCAGCAAATCATGATAACAACAAGATGTAAACACATCTAAACAGTACCATCAACATTCATATCAATCACAATTCAACCGAATATGAAAAATCAACATGAATATGCAAATAAGCTCAAAAATGCTATGGATATAGAATTCCAACCTTCGAAGCGGAGGATCGCTTCGGTTAATGTTGATTCAACTGTAATTGAACAGATCCAATGCTAGAAGTCCGGAATACTTCAAGATCCACACCAATTCTTGTAGTAGCAATGAAGATCCTTCAAGATTAAGCCAAATAATCACTTCCAAAATCACTTCCAAGTTCAGATCCAATTTTGCACGAAAATTGAATGAAGAAATCAATTCAATGAAGATGATGGATGGAGGTTTGAGCTCAAGAATTCATTGATTCCAATGAAGAATCAAAGAATTCAATAGAAAAGAGATTTAGTGAGGTTTTTGGAGTTGGAAAAAATGGGAGAAAATTTGAGAGAATTGAGATGAATTCTGAAATTGAAATGAAATTATGAGGCTTAAATGCCTTTGGTTTGGAGTAATTCACTTAAATATCACTTAGGTTTGGATCCAAATGAAAGACTTGGAAGATGGTTTGGGAAATTTGGAATGGAGTGAGGAATGGGAGTTTGGAGGGAAAATGAAATTAATCAAATTCTGAAATGATTCTATATCCTTCCCAAGTGTAAAATTGAAATTTGCACATGACCAAAATTGGACCCCAAAACAGCCTGCATTGAAAATTCACGTATAGAGGCAAAAATTGCACTGGTTAATCGATTAACCATATAGGTTAATCGGTTAACACCTTCAAAAATCTGAAATTGGCGCCTTTTGGAGGGAAATCTGCACGTTTGCCCTGTTTCAACTCTTTGGAGCTTTGTTAAGCTTCTGAATCTTGTTCTTGAATGTTGCAACTGTAAGAATGCTTGATATGAGCCTGAGTGCTACTTCTTGAAGTTATCCTGCAAAATAAAATAAAATCGACCGCTCGACCGCTGGGCAAAATAAATGCCAGAGCCTCTGATGCTCGCTGTTCAGTCTTTCAGTCCTTTGCGCCAAAATGAACCTGAGCCACAGGAATGCCTTGATCCCATGCCTCGAGAACGAATGTTATGATATGCAAAAATGCAAAATGCAAAGAAACAAAAACTAGTTAAGGTTAAAATGAAAGGGCAAATTTTGGGGTGCTACACATATTCACCCAAAATCTTAAGGTGATAGGTCTATGGATCCTCTCACTTATATAGTGCTTAACATCCATTTTTCTAAGAAATGTGGGACTTTTAGAACTCACACTTGTTTCTCAACACAACTCACACTTGCTTCTCATCAATCTCTCCCTCAAGTGTGAGTCCGTCCACTATGCTCCCCCTTAAGCGGAAGTTTTTCTCATCCACATGCTTGTACCGCCGTTGAGAGGCACCCTTATCTCGTCATGAGCACTTCAACGAGACACGCCGTCTAATCACCATGTCAGGAAGACTTTCGACACAAGGAGCTAATCCCTTACTCGAACCAGACTTTGATATCAGTGATGGGTCATCATAAGGGAAAAATATTCACATTGGGTCAAACACTCACCTAAAGGTCAAAGACTCACCTAAACAAGTGAGAGAGACCCCACATATTCGCCAAAAACCTTAAGGTGGTAAGTGTATGAGTCTTCTCACTTATATAAGGCTCAACCTCTACTTTTCTAAAAAATGTATAATTTAAAACTCACACTTATTTCTCAACATCGATTCCCATTAACCACCATTTCAAATGCAATCTTTCAACCACCACCATATCAATCATTATTATTAAGATTACTATTAAATAAATACTACATATAATAATTTTTATTTTATCTTTATATTTAAAATTAATTTTAATCAAAAAATTTTAAAACTCAAAATTAAAATTTAATTTAATTTCTAAAAATTTTAAAATACAAAATAAAAAATTGCCTCAAACATAACATAATAGAGTAATAATAATAAGATAATAAAAATAGTTAATATTAAATTAAAAATTAATAATATCATTCAATTTTCAAAAAATTAATTTAGTAAATTGTCACTCATGAATAAACAAGGAGCAAATACTTATAAAAATTAGAAGAAAACCGACCAAAAACCCATTGATTCCCATTAATGTTTGTCCCACTAATCAAGCAATTTATTTAAACCTAAGCACCAACTCCCCATGTGCTATAGCCCTTCCCAAGATCAAGAGAAAAGACAAATGCCCATATCTCCCTCCATTGGCTATGTTTGTTCCCACAACTCTCACCTTTTTGTAACACTAGGTCGGCTTCTATTATATCCATGTCTTCCACTTTATTATTCTTTATGTTTTCAAGTATTATATAAGTCCCTAACCACATAAACTTCTCTTACTAGTTCTTCCACTTTCAATTCTTCTAAAAAGAAAAGAAAAAGATGATGAAGTTGAAGTCAAAGAGGTTTTGTAGAAGCATATCAAAGCTTGGAAATATTGGAAACAAAGTGGTAGCAACATCTCCAATTGAAATTGAAAAGGAGTGTAGTGAAATCAAATGGGAACTTAGGCCGGGTGGCATGCTTGTGCAAAATAGAGAGAGCAATAAAAGTGATGAGGAGATGATCACAATTAGAGTTTCAACAATGTCAAAGTGGCATGATATTTCCATTGAAGCCACTTCAACTTTTGGTAAGTCTAATGAAACCCTACCCTACCACACATTTAATTTTCAATGACTTTTGTTTTGGTTACAATAAACTTTGAACCACTCTACTTATAAACAAAAAATATCTTATTCTTGTGCATTATTATAGAACTCTAAACATAACTTATGGTTAAATTTTGTGAATAAATTTTAGGAGATTTGAAGATGGCTTTGTCATTGGTAACAAGTTTGGAGCCTAGAGAACAAAGACTTATCTACAAAGGTAAGGAGAGAGATGACAATGAATTTCTTCACATGATTGGTGTTAGGGACAAAGATAAGGTTCTTCTTCTTGAAGATCCGGCCATTAAGGAAATGAAGCTATTTGGTTTGGCAAGAGGAGAATCTATTAACAATCCTTGTTGTACAATTAGTGTATAATATAAATCATCTGATTTTGATTGAACGGTCTTTGATGTTTCAAAAATGCGTGATCCCCTGACTGAAGCGAATTTCGTGATATACTGAAGTTGATTTTTAAAATCTAAAACTCATAATTAATTAGTACTAACAAGAAAAGATAAAGTAAAGTTAAGTTTAATGTGATGTAAATGTTTGTCTTTCTTCACTTTTTTGTTTGTTTGTTAATTTCCTAGTATAGAGGAACATAATCATGTACTCATCTTGTTGTTTGATTTGGAAATGTATAAGCTGATGTAATGCCATGTTATGTGTCTTAATCAATATTAATTGTCTTGTTGCTTCCTTTTGTATTTTACTAATTTTATATTGTTTTGTTTTTTAATCTTGATTGTTGTCTTGTTGATCATTGGTATTTTTATATGATCCCATGCGTGCACACCGACGCGTAAAAGCATAGTTCGCTTTGTTAATGTAGGGACCATATTTCAGGTAAAAGGGACAGGTTTTTATGTTCTGAAATATGTTTTCTACATTTTTAAAAGATTCATTTTAAAAGCTAATTTTCTCTTGATTTACCAGAGCTCAAAGCTAATGAGTTCTCCGTATAGAAAACTAGATAATAGGGAAAATTAACTTTCTAAAAGATCCCTTCTATTCGCTTCAAATGTGATTAAGTTTTACTAGAGCACATATATAAGGGTCAGTTGGAATTCTGTTTGGATTCATTTGTTCACTTCCTAGTTGCATAAAGGTCGGACTGTTAAAACATTTTGAACTCGTTGGGAAATGATATGATATGGAAAAGCCTTTATGATAAGTAAGAAAATTAAATCAATAATAAGGAGTAACTCTTATTATTGCAATGTGATTGACTTGAATAAAAATTATAGTTTTAAGGGTCTAAAAATTCTTCTTTTTTTATTTTGTATTGAATCTCTAATTCTCTTTCTTTTCAAATTCATCTTTTCTTCTTTCATTGTAATTGTGTAGAGATAATCATCCTGCAATTAAGATTGGTTGATTTACTCGAGTGAAGAGTGGGGAATAAGAAGAGAATTTAATCATTCGATTAAATCTTGTTCATCAAGATTGATTTGGAATTATTCAAAGTTTTGAGTTTAACTCCAACATCTGGTATCTAGAGCACTGGTTGAGCGATTTGTGGGAAGTAAAACACGATGGCAATGAATCTTTTGAACGAGCATTTTTGGGCGATGAATCATCTGAAGGCTCAGAATTATGAGAATTTGTGCAAATAGATGAGGGTTGTTTTCTGTTATCAAGATCTTTGGGATCTTGTGAAGAAAGGAGTAACACCACTTGTAGAAAACGCGTCAGATCAAGAAAAAGGTGCATACAAAGAATTGAAGATGAAAGATTATAAAACTCTAATTCATCAATGTGGTGATCCCTACAATTTTGAAAATGTCACTGATGTAGAATTAGTAAAAGAAGCATGAGAGATCTTAGAGAAATTGTTTGGAGGCGTTGAGAAAGTGAAAGTGGTGAGGTTACAAACTCACAAAAGAACGTATGAATTGCTTCAGATGGAAGACAATTAAAGCATAACAGATTTTTCACTAGGATTACAAAACTGGTGAATCAAATCAAGGTATGTGGAGAAGTGTTGACATCAAGATCAATTGTTGCAAAGATCTTGAGGTCATTGAATCCAAAGTTCGACCACGTGGTAGTAGCCATAGAAGAGTAAAAAAATTTCAAGTTTGACAAAGGAAGAGTTTCAACGGATGCTTGAATCTCATGAACAAAGAATGACTGAAAGAGTTGCAAGCAAGTCGAATAGTGATGTGGCTCTACAAACGCATTTAGCAAAAGAAAAGAAGGGCAAGGGAAGTTGGAAAGGTATATGAGGCTACAAAAATTTGACTGGTCAAAATCAACAAGAAGGAGGCTGGTCGAGTCTGAGAAAGTCCTCATACCAAAGTAACCAAAGAGGTGGTGTAGCAGGTAGATGAAGAGGTGGTGGTCGAAAATCTGAACAAAGTCAGATTCAGTGTTTCAATTGTCAGAAGTATGGTCACTACACTAGTGATTGTCTAGAAAAACAAAAGAACCAAGATAGTGATACAAAGTTGGCAAAGCATGAAGAAGAAGAAATGTTGCTGATGGTCACAATAAGAGATGAAGAAAGATTCCAGGACCAATGGTACTTGGACTCAGGATGCTCATGACACATGACTGGTAGGAAGGATTGGTTTGTCAACATAAAATCCTCAATGAAGAACGTGGTGAAATTTGAAAATGACAATACTCTAACAACTGAAGGTATTGGTGATGTCCTAATTATGGGGAAAGATTACAAGAGATTAGCAATTTCCAATGTAATGTACGTACCAGACATGAAGAGTAATTTGCTCAGCATAGGCCAGTTGGTCGAAAAGAACTAGAAAGTGTCGATCGAAGACAATATGATGAGAGTTCTCGACTCAGGAGTGTTGCGGTAGAAATAGGATCACAAACTATTAATGAGTTTGAATCGCAATTCAATTCACAACCGCTCTTTGATTTATCCGAAGGAAAAGGTCAAAAGAGGGAAAACCTATTTTGCATCGTAAACACAATGCGGGGAAAGACCTAGGGTTCGGGGGTTGGTTAAATTTAGGGAAGGTATTAGCACCCTAAACTTCTGTAGTATTCTACAGGAACCTTTTGTTCAAATGCTTACTATTTTGCTTTATTTATTTGCTTAAGGTATATGTACAAAAGGATTAAAAGTGAGAAAAGAGACCTAAGGGGTTAATTCTAAGTTTACTCGGCAAGACATCGCATCTTGTGCCTACGTATCCTTACGGGAGTGGAATCAGAGTAATCGTAGTTCCCCTCAAAAGGGAGGTTAGAGACTTCTTGACTGTGGTCAAGGTCTCAAGGGGAATAAACGCATCTTAAGGACACGCTTACGTGGAGTGTAGAAACTCCAAATCTCTACGTTGAATTGTTAAGTTGTAATTAGGGTTAGGTTAGGAATTCCACGGCGGGAAATCCTAAGATGAGCGCGGCGACTCTTTGACCTAATGCTAGGGGTAAAATTGTAATTTAGCCTGCGGCGAGGCATTTGTGAAAATTAGGGTTTGTAATTTGTAGTTTTGAGGATTTGAAATTGAATGTGTGAAGTTTTACGGACTATCGGCGCGGCGGCCAAACAGTTAGACCTAACCTTCGGATGTGTGCAATGTGACAGAAATAATAGTGATGAAAGTGTGAGAAATTTAAATCATACAAGCGGAAGTAAAATGCGGAAAGTAAATGCGATTATTGGTTCGCGAGGTTACAACCGAGAAACAGATACAATATGATAATGAAATTTGAATTGAACAATAATAAGATAAAATAAATAACGGTAAACGCAATAAACTGCAAAACGAACAAACAACGTTAGTGGGCAGAATTAGATGAATTATCAGACACGCCAGGAAGTGAAACTATGCATATTTTTGTGGTTTGTATTTTATGATATAAACTTCAATTTAAATTAAAATGGGATTTTTAATATTATTTTAGAAAACATTTTAACAAATCAATAATAATAATAATAATTATAATAATAGAATAGAATAAAAATAAATAATAAAAAAAAGGTTTGGGAAGTTGGGCCGGTGATTCTTCGGCCCGTTGCCACTTCAATTGATCGTCACATGAGAAACTTAGGGTTCCAAAACCCCCATTTTGTCTCGCGGCGCATGCTCTTCGTCTCGTTCTTGTTTCGTCTTCCCCGTCAGGCATTTGCCGTTGGTTTCTTCATCTCACCAATTTCTGAAAAAACAACAAATCATATGAACACATGAGATTTAAAAAAAAATCACTTACCCTCTCGTTAGGGTTTTGGGTGACTTCGATGGTGATTCTTTCACGGTGGTGCCGATGGTTTTGTTCGTCCGATTTCCTCTATTGATGGGAGAGTCTGAGGCGATGATGGTGATGATGATAGTATTTTGAGCCTCGAAGTTATTTTGCTCGCCGATTTTAAATGAACGGCGCCGGCGAATGTACTTCCACAGGGTTTAGTTCGTGTGATGAATGTCGATGGTCTTCGTCGCTGTTTCTTACAAAGACGATGACGAGGACTTCGTCTCCTCTGAGTCTCGACCGTTTCTCCTTGTTCGCGCCGCCTAGGGTTTCTTCGCTCCCTCCTCTCCCCCCTTTTTTTCTAGCGTTTCGTTTGAGGTGATGCCATTCTTATATACTCTCCTCTCTCGATTTTGAATGGGCCTTTGGATTTAAATTTTTCCGATATTATTTACCCTTTTGTGAAAGGTTTGATTTGATCTCAAAACCTTCCGTTTTCGGAAGCGATTTGCACAATATTTGTTTTTCTGATATGATATGATCTTTGATTGGGATTTTCCTTTTTCAGAATTCCTTGATTGGATATTGTTTGACCCTATTTCCGGATATGGATTGCTGATGCACTGTTTTTTTCTGATGCATTTCGGTTCGGATATGAGTTTGTTAACTTCTTTCTCTTCATCTTTCAGGGAGGACACGATACTTCGAATGGATCTACACCGCTGGGAAAGGTATGCGGGGATGATGATGCTTTGTCTGAGCCATCGGAAAATGACACTATGATTCATGTGCTGCTATTTATGTTGCGAGCAGGATAGCATCTGATTTGGTAACTGATATGCTGTGACTGGTTGTCGGATTTAAACTTCTGTTAGCATCTTATCTGAGTTCTTTTGAAACAGCTTCACTTGTCTTGTTCTGTATCCAATTTTTGATGCAGTTGAATTGTTCCTGAACTTTTCTGATTGGACTGATATTTTGGATCCTTTCTTGGTATGGTTGTACCACTTTATTCGAATTCGGACGCTTTAACCTCTTGTGGGACTTGCAGATATTGATGTTGCTGATGTGCTTCCATGATGGTTTGTGAGATGAGTTGATAGTTTGTGCTGAGCTGATAGTTTTTTACTGATACACCAGTCGCCTGATGCAGTTCAGCTCTGATTCAGCCTTGGTGCTTGGGGCTGTGATGCTTTGGATTCGCAAACTGATTG